GTGGGTGTGTTTAATAGAGTTCCAGTTTGGAGTTTTTCTCCACCCACTGAACTTGCTAGTCCTATGCAGCTACTGTTCTGGGCTTGTCGCAAGTTGGCAAGCAGACATGGAGCTCAGCTGTCCCCCGAGGGAGGTGTCGAGGGTCAGGGCTAGCAGCGGGTGGGGTTGGTTACCCATCCTGGCCAAGGGCCTCAGGGCCAGATGTTTGGGCTTAGCTGCCCAGCCAAACAGGGATAGAATGACTGAGTAATTAGGTACCCGCTTGTTTGGGGCTGGCAGAAGGGAACGGGGGTGGAGAGACCTTGGGCTAGAACACCCATCACACACCCACACACCTCAGGTTTGCAGAGCAGCCAAAGCTGCACCCCAAGCTAGGCTCTCTGGCATTTTCAGGGAGATGACCCATAGCTAGGGCCCACCCGATCCCACCCAGGGATAGAGAAAACTTTCTTCCAAGCTGGGGTACTGCTCTGTGACACCCCAATGAGCCAAGACAGGAAGGGGAAGGCAGCCCTACTCTCCCAAGGTTAGCTGTCAGCAGTTATTTAAGTCTCTGGCTTAATGAGCTATGGGGACCAGAGAGTTCCCTGCATGTGCCTTTTGCCTGCTGGCGGGATCAGGGTGTCCATCAATCAAGACCCCCGGACATTATCCCACTGCCTGCCCAAACCAGTAACTGGACCCTGCTGGCCTTTGCAGGAGTGCAGGGGCGCCAGGCTCCATCACCTTCCGTGACCTCTGAGCCATGATCTTGGAAGAAGGAGGACCGGTTTCTTGGCCAGGGCTGCAGGGGTCAGAAACTGGAGTGCTGGCGGGTGGGGCGGGGTGGGGTGGCGTCTTCCAAGCTAGCCCTCGGTTTACAGACCAGTGAGGATAGGTTCAGGGGTAGGAAGGGACTTGCTCGGGTCACTAAGACAGGGTAAGTCATGAACGTCCTTAGGTGGAACCCAGGGCAAGGACAAAGCAGGGGCACTGTCTGTCTTTGTCCCCGCTTGGGTCCCAGCTCTACCATGTGGCTCTGGGGGTGAGCTGGTCTGCTCTGAGCCCTTTCTGCACTGCGGATCAAGGCTCCTCCCTTGCAGGGCTCCGGTGTGGCTGGCAGGCTGTTTACCTAGAGCCCACACTCCAGAAGGTGGTACCTGCCTGTAATCCAAGGACTTGGGAGATAGAGAGAGAGGGATGGGGTTCAAACCTCAGCTTTTGAAGCCAGTTTGAACTACTCTGTGTGTGTGTGTGTGTGTGTGTGTGTCTGTCTGTCTGTCTGTCTGTCTCTGTCTCTGTCTCTCTCTCTCTCTCTCTCCCTCTCTCACACACACACTACGTTGTTCAGCACAGATCTGGTGTCTGAGGGAATTTTCATCAATCCATTAACTTTACGGGGGTCATATGTGGAGGTTAGGACAGCTTACCATAATTGGTCCTCTCCTTCCATTATTTAGACTCCGGGGAATCAAACGCAGATCATCGAGGCTCACATAGCAAATGTCTACCCACTGAGCCATCTCACTAGCCCTGGGCTCGCTCTTGGTAAGGGGGCATCATCACATACCATCTCTGCCCATACATGAACTGATTCACTGGAAATCCTCCCCCGTGAGTGTCATGTGATTAACATTCCCATTTTACAGAGGACAAAACTGAGGCTGTGAGAAAGAAACCAAAATTCCAGAGGTATGCAGGCTGACCATAGCCAAGCCTCAACTCAAGTCCAGTTGGTCTGATGTGGTCATGAAATACTATCTGAAGAGCAAGGCCCCTGAGCTCGGAATGAAGTTCAATTGACAGAATGCTTGCCCGGCATGCATGAAGCCCTAGGTTCAACTGGCAATGGTGCATAGACGCAGGTGTGATACAACAGCACATCTGTGACCCCAGCACTCCACAGGTACAGACAGAGGCTCAAGGGCATCCACAACACACCAAATAGAAGATCAGATTGGGCTCATGCATGAAACCTTCTCTCAGAAGGGTCTGGAGTACACAGGCTTGGGTTGCCCTGGGGCACAAAGGGGGATAGGAGATCAGTCCCCCTGCTCGTGTGCCCTGAGAGTTTAAGCACCCTCAGAAACACAATGCTGCCACCCAGTCATCTCCGCGTGCCCATGAGCCATACACTATTATTATCCCCGTTTATAGGTGGGAACGGGGACCAAGGCTCAGAAGCTGGCTCAGGGCTACCCCTAGCAAGGGCTCCTCCCTGGCGTCCAGGCTGTGAGGACGTCCCCTCATCTGCTGAGCTGTGGTAACAGTACCCTCCTCCGTCAGTGTTAATGGAGAGGGAATGACAGCTGGCCGTGGAGCCGCTAAACCAGCGGTTCTCAACCTGTGGGTCATGACCCCGCCGGGCTGCCTCTCACGGGGGTCACCTAAGACCATCCTGTGTATTGGATGTTTGCATGACAGTTCATAACAGCAGCGAAATTCCAGTGATAAGGTAGAGATGGAAATGATGTCATGTTGGGGTCACCTCAACATGAGGAACTGAATTAAAAGGTCGTGGCAGCGTTAGGAAGGTTGAGAAGCGCTGCTAACACAGACCTACCCAGTCAGCGATGCTCTGTTCTTAAAGTCCCGCCTGGACAGATTCACCACTGTCAGGGCTCCTCGTGATCACCACCAGCGTGATCACCCCCAGCATATCGATGTCATCGTCATGGCGCCACTATTACCGTCACCATCATCTTCTGTCACCCACGCTACCATCACGCTCACTGCAACCATCAACACCTCCATTATTCCTAGTCACCATCATCACCTTAGCCATCCCTACCCGCATCATCACTAGTATCAACACCATCCCTAGCCAGCATCCCCATCAGAACCTCCCAAGTACCACCATCACCCTCAGCACCCGTCACCACCTTCGTCACTACACCCTTGTTGCCAGTCACATTGTCACACTTCATCATAAGCACCCCAATCTCTAGCAACACCACCCCCCAACATTACCATCACCATCAACACTGTCACTGCGATTCCTGCCTTTGTGTCCAGGATCGTCACCATCACCATGACCATAGCACATGTGAGGTTGACAAGTTAGGATCAGCTTTGTGATTCTGTCCCCCCAGGGTCCCCTGTTCCCCCAGTAACAACACCTACACTCGGGTGGTAGATACTTTGGTTCTCTTTTGTCTGAGAGCATCTTAAGCACCCTGAATTTCAGAAGGAGTCACACATCTCCCCTCAGAGGCCTCTCCTCCTCCTCGGTGGTGGTGGTGGTGGGCACAGGGGTGCTGGGAGGCCAGGCCACCTCTGCCAGTCTCTTTACAGTCTCGCTCAGCTGCCCCAGACCCTGGGCAGCCTCTACCAGCCGGACTAGGCCCAGCCCCAGGACTTGACGTTCCTGCCGGTCTTGTTCCAGGACCTGAGTCAGCGTCCGCAGCTGGTCACCCACCTCCCTCACAGCAGCCACCAGCTCCACCAAAGCAGGTGGCTCACAAGCCATGACCCTTACAGGGGGTACTGGGGACAGACACGGTCCAAGGGCATCTGGGTTGTGATTAGGGCTTGGCCCTTGAGTGAAGCGGTCAGGGGGAGGTTGGTCCAACGGGTGGGCCATAGAAGAGAGGTGAAGGTCGGAGGTCACAGTGGGGTCTGGAGGTGATTGTGAGGTCTGGAGAGGTGGAGAGGTTGATGTGGAACTCCGGCTTCTGGGTGGTTTAAAGATCTCCGTGGACTGTGGGTCCATGCTTGGGGCTGGAGAGAGCCTGGAGGGGTCAGACTTGGAGGCTGGAGAGGGCTCCAGGTTCTGCTTCTGGGATGTGCTTGTGGGAGGGGCTCCCTCAAAGGTCATTTCTGGGTGTAGGCTAGGCTTGACCCTTGGTTCCAGAGTGACAGAGGGAAACCCCGTCTCCAGGGAGGATGGAAGGGACTTTGTAGGGGTGGCAGTGGTTAAGGAAGCATGAGGGTTGGTGGGAGGTTGAGGTGTTGTGGTGGGGTGAGGGATCCTGGGAAGCTGAGGGTCTGTGGTGTGTTCAGTGGTCACGGTAGGGTGAGAAGTTGTGGTGTGTAGAGGGGTCGTGGTCGGGTGAGGGGTAGTGGTGGGGTGAGGGATGGTGGTGGGGTTAGGGGTGGTGGTCGGGTGAGGGGCTGGGCTGGGGTGAGGGGCTGTGGTGGGATGAGGGACGGTGGAAGGCTGTGTGGGGGTCCTGAGGCTCATGAGGATGCCTGAGGAGTCAGAACTCTCTGGGACTATTTTAGGTGTTGTACCCAAGCCTGGGGTTATGTCGGATCCTGGGGTCAGCTCTGAGATAGGGGAAAGGCTGGTCCCCTCTGGTAGCGCAGAGGAGTCAGAGGTTAGTCCTTTAGGGGAAGTGGATGTCAGGCTCCGGGAGTGCTGTGGGGTCCCAGTAGGGAGCAAACTGGCATCAGAAGTGGACAAAGCAGAGTCAGAGGCTGTCAAAGAGGTCAGTCCCGGGGTGGGTGGAGATGTTTGGGGAGGGCCTGTGGTCCTCTCCCGCTTTGTGGCTGAGTCAGGGATGAACTGTGGCCCGGAGCCAGAGGTCAGTGGTGAGCCAGAAGGCGCTGGGGAGGTGGAAGGAGCTGGGGATGAGGTGGTGGGTGCTGTCCTGGCTGGGGTTGGTCGCAGCAGCCTGCGCTCTGGTTTTGGCTTCCTTGGGGAACCTGGAGGAGAAGGCAGGGGGCCAGGGGCAGATCAGTCTGAGGTCAGGTTGCCCTACCCACCGTGTCCCGCAACGCCCCTTGAGGAGCTGACCAATGAGAAGGCAAAGATCTTCGTGACATCATGGGTCACTGGCAGACTTCACCAGGCCCTAGTGCCCCCCTTGTCTCTTCCTGTGAGGTTCCTGCCGCCACCTGGTGGTCTCTGAGGGGAACGTACATGGATACAAGTAGGAAGGAACTCTGGAGGATAGTGGAAGGTTTGAAGAAAAGTCCCAGGGACCAGAAAGATGAATACGCTTTGGGATGCAGAAATACAGTAAGATACCTAGGAGACACCCACAGTGCGACTCTATGTGATAATTTACTTCCACTGTGGGGTTGACTGGGTTTGGATTCACCTAGGAGACATAGCTCTTTGGATATGTCTATAAGTGTTTCCAGAGAGATTTTACTAAGAAGGGAAGAACTACCCTGATTATCCCATGGCCTGGGGGCCTAGACTAAATAAAAAGAAGTGACCTAGTGAGGTGTGGTGCCACACGCCTTTAATCCCAGCACTCGGGAGGCAGAAGCAGGTAGATCTCTGTGAGTTTGAGGTCAGACTGGTCTATAAAGGGGGTACCACGCCAGCCAGGACTGTTATACTGAGAAACCTTGTCTCGAAAAACCAAAAAGAAAAAGGAAAACAGAAAAAAGAAAGAGAGGAAGGAAGGAAGGAAGGAAGGAAGGAAGGAAGGAAGGAAAAGAAAGAAAGAAAGAAAGAAAGAAAGAAAGAAAGAAAGAAAGAAAGAAAGAAAGAAAGAAAGTTATTATCTGTCATAGGGTAGACCAAGGACGGGTAGACTAGTTCTTAGGTGTCCTTATAATTGCCTGCAACCCTAATGTCTTTAGCTACCACTGTTTCTTGGTTGACAGAATCCTTTTAGGATCATCTCTCCTCTAGCTAATGACTCCTTGCTGTAGGCTAGCCCTCTGTCGGGTCTTCCTGAGGTAAGACCTGGGTTACCCCTGGGAATTTGAAGCCCATCTCTGCACCCCACAGCACAAGCTCCCCAGGCCTCAGCTTTACCCCTGCCTCACCTGTGCCTGCACGGGCCCTCGGAGCTGGAAAAGGGTGGCCTGGACTCTTGCCGGTGCTGCTGGCGACAGTGAGTCGGGGTTTGGTCGTGGTGGGGGTCCCTCTGGACAGACCCCTCCGTGAAGGTGCATCCCACGTCCAGGAGAGTTCATAACCGCCCTGGTCATCTGCAGATGTATAAGGAAGAGAGTTGGGTCTCTCCTTCTACCTTCATCTCCCCGACAAATTACCACAGCCCCCGTCACAGCCTACGTCACTCGGCCTCCTCAACAACGTGTGTCACTAGGCCCTCAGTCAGGATGCTCTTGGCTACTGAAAGCAGAGACTGACGAAATTCCTCACAAAGGAAACACAAGCATTACTTCCATTTCCCGAGCTCCCTGACCTCGGGTACAAACCCTCACAATGGCTGGACTATCGTGCTGTCCCAAACAAGTTCTTTTTTTTTCTTTTGAGACATACACACACACATACACACACATGCACAAACATAAATCAATGTAAATAGATAAATGGATAAATATAAATAAGCAATAAAAAGAGAAACCAAATTCTCCAATTTTATAAATCCTTAAAATACAGAAACATTTCCAGGCTGAAGTGAACAAGAAAAAATTAAACACATAGTTCAGGCCAGAGGGAGACACAGTACTGGCTTTGGAGATGGGAGGAGCTGCGTCTAGAAAAGTCGAGAGGTCAGAGTCTCCCATAGGAACCAGCCCAGCCAACACCCTGATCTTGGCTCGGTGAGATCCATGCATTCTGACCTACAGAAGACCAAGAAAATGAATTTGTGTTGTTTAAGCCTCTGGATCTATGGTGATGGCATTACAGCCAGAGAGATAAATGTAGGCACTTCTTGGAGCTTAAAACCTACCTTGTTGGGGCAAGAGAGGTGGCTTTGGTGACTGAGAGCATCTTTTGCTCTCACAGAGGACCCAAGCTGGGTTCCTGGCACACACCTCAGGCAGTTCATAATGTAACTCTAGCTTCAGAACGATGTCCTCTTCTGGTCTCATGGGGCACTGTGCACGCGTGCGCGTGCGCACGCGCGTGTGTGTGTGTGTGCATGCAAGTGCAAATATATGCACAAATAAGCCAAGTTTTTTGAGACAGGATCTCTGTATATATCTCTGACTATTCTGGAACTTGCTATGGAGGCCAGGTTTGCTTCAAGCTCACAGAGATCCACCTGTCTCTGCCTCTGGGGTGCTAGGATTAAGTGTGCCACCACGTCCAGCCATGTGTGTGTGTGTGTGTATTTAGTTTTTTGAGACATGGTTTTTCTGTGTAGTTCTGACTATCCTGGAACTCACTCTGTAGATCAGGCTAGCCTCAAATTCAGAGATCTACCTGCCTCTATCTCATGAGTGCTGGGATCAAAGGCATTGCCACCACTACCCAGACATAAAATAAATCTTAAAAAAAAAAAATCCTAGGGCTGGAGAGATGGCTCAGAGGTTAAGAGCATTGACTGCTCTTCCAAAGGTCCTGAGTTCAATTCCCCTCAACCACATGGTGGCTCACAACCATCTGAAATGAGGTCTGGTGCCCTCTTCTGGTCTGCAGGCATACACACAGACAGAATATTGTATACATAATAAAATAAATAAGTATTTTTAAAAAATTTTAAAAAAATCCTAGTCCCGTGACTAAGCAAATTTTCTCCCAAAGGTCTTTGGTCCTCTGAGAAGCCCCTTCCTGGGGGTCAGTGAGGAGATAGATGGCTCAGTGGGTAGAGATGCTTGCTGTGTGCCCGATGACCTGAGTTGGACCCCCAGAGCCCATACAGTAGAAGTAGAAAACCAACTCATGCAAATTGTCCTCCGAGCTCCACACCTGTGTCATAGCACACACCCAAATTAATTAAAAAAATAATTCCCTCCCTGCTCTCCTCTGCCGCTGGATAATATCACATTTCTAGGAGGCTTTTTTCCTGATTTCTCTACTATAACCACCATTCCAACCTCAGGAACCTGTGCCTATGGGTTGGTGTCATACAACACCCTGCCAGCAATGCTTTCTGTCATAAGTGAGTTCAAGTGCATTCTGCACATTGGCTTGGGACATGACATCACACAACTCACTTCAGTCCCCGTGGAGTCTAGACTGGTGTCTGCTGAGTGAATCAGACCCCAGGCTTGTCCTTTGAAAGACAACATGCATAACCCCAATGCATCGTGCTGCCTGCCTGCAGTCCTACCACTGAGAGTTCAAGGCTTGCCTGGATGACATAGTTGACTTCCAAGCCAGGTTGGGCTGTGGAATAAGATGGTCTCAAAAGCAAGCCAAGAAGCACTGGAGATATTTCTGTTTGTAGAGTGCTTGCTTTGCACACACAAGGAATTGAGTGTGAGTCCCAGAACACACGCTTAAAGAAAATAAAAAGCACCGGGTGGTGGCAGCACACCTTTAATCCCAGTACTCAGGGAGGCAGAAGCAGGAGGATCTCTGAGTTCGAGGCCAGCCTGGTCTACAGAGTGAGTTCCAGTGCTGGGCATTTGGTTTCTCTTGTAATTCCAGTGCTGGGGAAACTGAGGCAGGAGAAACTCTCAGGCTTCTCAGCCACCAGCCTAGCCTCACCGGCGAGCTCCAGGCCACTGAAAGACTCTGTCTCACAAAACGAGGCTTAGACAGTGCCTGCAGAATGGCATCAGAAATTGTCCTCTGTCCTCCACACACTGTCCATACACTGCAGGGACAGACACAAGCATGCCACACATGTAAACGCATACATAAGACACAAGCAAACTATTTGAAACAGAGTCCCATTCTGGTCATACACATACCCCATACCTTTTCCTAAGCCTTGCTACGCGGAACTGACCTGAGAGTCCCCTTACACCATTTGTTGTTCTGCATTTATTTCTCCCTGGAAACCTGCCTCAGGGACTAGCTGCCTCTACAGCGGCGGGTGCCCCGCATGTGATCAATTCCACCACAAGGGGGTGCTGAGGGACAGGGAAGCCGCCCTTATTGCACAGAACAAAGGTTCTGAAACTCCGGCCACACCTGACTGAGAATCAGAGTCTCTAGGAAATCATTCCCGGTTCCAGCATCTCAATGGTCAACCCTAATCCCATCATAAGCTACTGTGGGGTCCAAGTCACAAATCCCTGAGCCTGCTCCCTTGCTCCACTCTACAGGTGGCAACGCTGGATCCTGGTGGCCAATCAAAATGCACAGCACTCCTGTGATGCAATGAGATGCCAGGCAGAGCAGCACATACCTGCCCCACCAGGCCTGACTGTGCTTTCTGGGTTCCAGAAGGAATATGGGCTGATCGTCCCAGCAGTGACAGGCAGAGAGATATACAAACGGGCAGGCATTGCTAGCAGTCGAAAGTGGAGACAGTGAAATGAAGGAGACCGAGGGAAACAGAAACGGTGGTGGGAAAGGCAGGGGATAGGACAGAAACAGTGCAACCAAAGAACAGAAAACGTGACTCAGAACATGACAGGAGCTGACCAAAAAGAAGATAGGTATATGTGGTGCACTGTGCCTGGAATCCCAGCATCTGGGAGAGGGGCCAGTTTCAGCTACACAGGAAATCCCAGCCTGGGCTATAAAACAGCATATCAAAAGAGTTGGGGAGAAGAGTGAAGGAAGAAATGGGAGGAAGGAGAGAGAAAAAGAAAGGGAAGGGACCTGGAGTAGGAAACACGAGTGGGCAGATGAGAGGGCTCACTGGGTGGAGACGGCAGCATGCAGGAAACTCTAGTTGGGTACCTGGAGCCCACGTGGTAGGAAAGGACTGGCTTCTGCAAGTTGTGCTCTGACTTACACACACACACACACACACACACGCATGCACGGTGGCACATGGGCTGGCGCATACTCATGCATGCACACACATACACAATTGATCAACGTAACGAGAATTTCTAAAAAGGAAATAGAAGTGAGACATGAAAGGCAAAGGAGCGAACTACGGAAGAAATCAAAGGAGAGGGCATGGGAGGACAATGGGGGGGAACCCAGGAAAGCAAGAAGAGAGGAAATGATAGGTGGGAGGAGAGGCTGGAGAGATGGCTCAGTGGTCATGCCCTGCCAGGACACAGGTTTGATACACACACACACACACAGACACACACACACACACACACACACACACACGTCACGGAGGTCTTAGGAAGTGCCCATGAGGAAGACAGCTGGGTGGGAGGTAAGGAGAGAACACAAGGGGTGGCAGCTGGGGACCAGGGTGTCTCTCCATCTCCGATCCCCGTGCTGGCAGCAGAGATGGAAGGATGTAGACAACAGCGAGACAGAGCCGTGGAGTAGTCGAGGGACAGAGAGCCTGCTGGGCAGGCTGGGAAGGGCAGGGGACAGAACTCGTGGCCCCAGGGATCCCTGCCTGTGTCTGAGCTACAGCTGACAAGGACAGAGTGTGGCCTGCCAGACTCTGTAGGACTCTGTTCAGTTTCCCAGGAGAAGCTACCAGGGCAACCTGAGCTGAGGATTCTGGGTCATTTCCACAGACGCTCTGGTTTGAGGAGGTCAGCCACTTCCTGGTCGCTCGGGACCAGCCGATGCCCTCTGACTGGCCGATGCCCTCTGGCCTCTCAGAGCCAACCGCTGCCTCTTTCTACTCTGGAGAAGATGAATGCGGTCAAGTCCAAGCACAGGACACACGTTTATGATGTCTGGATAAGTTCAAGGAAAGCCTGCAGGGCCTTGGAGGCCTCGGCCAGCTCAGTTAGAACGATCTTTATGGGTGACCACGTGGCACCCATTTGTACTGTCAACACTTGGGAAGGGAAGGAGGAAGGATCAGGAGCTCAAGGCAAATCTCAGTTACATAGCAAGTTCAAGACCAGTCTGGGAATACATGTCACCATCTCGAAAAACAAACAGGGTGGTCCATACAGCCCAGGGAGCAAAAGTGCTTTCTGCCAAGCCAAACAATGTGAGTTTGATTCCTGGGACTCCGTGGTGGAGGCAGAGCTTGGCAGACACACCCACACAAGTTCCCGGCCAAGGCCCTCACCTGTGTCTGGCAGCCTCTGTGTTCCTGAAGAGGGGACTTCTGGGTTCCTAGTGGTAGCCCCCCAGGAAAGAGTTTGTCCAGGTCGTGTTGCTGCAGTGGTTCCTTTGGTCAGGTCCTCTCCTGAAGTGGGGTCCCAAGTCCAGGAGGGATAATCATCGTCACCTGTGTACCCTGGGGAGAGACTAGATAGCATGTGTCTCCTTCCGCTCTCTGAGGTCCCTGCCACTGCTCTTTCCTTCCAGTCTCCTGCAGCGACCCTTACATGTCCACACCCTGACCCCGCTCTGACCAGTTCCTTAGATGACGCTGTCATCCTGTCCCACTCTAACTCCATTCCCTCAGCCTCCCTTACTGTCCCCTGTACTGGTGCAGGAGAGCACCGTATCCCTCAACCTCCCTCACTGTCCCCTGCACCGGTGCAGGTGAGCACCGAGTCCCTCAGCCTCCCTCACTGTCCCCCTGTACCGGTGCAGGAGAGCACCACATCCCTCAGCCTCCTTCACTGTCCCCTGTACCGGTGCAGGAGAGCACCGCATCCCTCAGCCTCCCTTACTGTCCCCTGTACCGGTGCAGGTGAGCACTGAGTCCCTCAACCTCCCTCACTGTCCCCCTGTACCGGTGCAGGAGAGCACCACGTCTTCCTCGTGGTCACAGTTGTGCTTCCCCCACGTCCCCGAGGGGCAGTCGCTCAGTGAGGTCTCACTCCCCTTACAGCCCATGTCATCCAACCAGATGGGCCCGGTCCCAGGGCCATAGTGGGTTTTCCCTACTCGGGGCAGGACCTTTCCACAGCCCAGTTCCCAGCAGGCCACTGTGGCATCCCGAAGGTCCCAGCTGTCATCACAGACCGTCCCCCACAGTCCAGCATGCCACACCTCTAGCCGGCCAGCACACCTGTTAGGCCCATCAGCCAGACGAACCCGGAAGGGACCTGGGGGGCATGGGAGGCCCTCGGGTTAGGAGGTAAGGGGATGGCCTCGTTGCTGTTCCCAATCCCTTTCACCCTCCGCTGCTCACCTGATGGTGTAGGGACTCCAGCAGATGGGGAGGGGGCTGGATCTCGGGAGGACTCCAGAGAACCTTCTGGGCTCTCACCAGATGGCTCCAAGGAGGCTTGAGGGATCTGTGTGATGGTGGCCTCAGAGGTCACTTCTTGGGGGCCTTGAGTGGACAGTGATGTTACAGTCTCTGAGGTCCACTCCCAGGGCACCCTGGGGGTCAGTTTTACAGGGGTATGTGACATCTGTCTGTGGGGAGCCTCAGTGGTCAGTCTTTTAGGTAAGTCGGAGGTACGTGGAGTTAGATTTAGGGTGCTTGGGGTGCCTGGGACCCTGGAGCGTCTAGTGGTTGGCATCCCAGGGGGCGGAGTGGTTGGCCGCTTCGTGTTTTTAGTCACCCACTTCTTAGTGCTCTTGGGCGCTTTCCCTGGAGACTTTGTGGTCTTCTCTAGCACACTGGAGGTGAGGTCAGCAGAGGGTTTGGTGGCCAGCTCTCCTGGAATCCAGGCATCCTGATCTCTCCCCAGCCCAGGGAGCCAGCTCCAGCTGAAGGGGTCTGAGAGAGTATCCAGGCCAGGGGTCCCTAGGAGGCCAGAGGGAGGAAAGAGATGTAGAAACCATGATGGTGGACTCATGGGACTCTATCACAAACCTCTAGCCCATGTCCTCATCCCTCTTTTCACTTAAAAAAAATAAAAATGAAAAAAGTGTGCTGGGCTAGAGATGTGGCTCAGTGGTTAAGAGCATTTGCTGCTCTTCTAGAAGACCTGGGTTTGCACCCATGTGGTGGCTCACAACTGTCTGTAACTTCAGGCTCAGAATGTGAAGCCCTCTTCTGGCCCCTGAGGGTTTCAGGCACACACGTGGTACACAGATGTACTTGCAGACAAACTACCCATACACACAAAAACAAATAAACAACATACACACGCACGTGTGCGCATGCACGCACACACACACACACACACACACAGGTTTCTCGAGACAAGGTTTCTCAGAAATCTGCCTGCCTCTGTCTCCCGAGTGCTGGAATTAAAGGTGTATGTCACCGCCCAACTAGCAATCTATATTAAGTATGTTTGTTCTCTGACAATTGCAAGCATGTCTATAATGAATTACTCTCTCCATCCACTCTCCCTCCTCTCAGCCCCCTCATCCCTAACAACGTCCCTTTCCCCCTTTCATAGCTTTGGGTTTTGTTGTGTGATCCATCAAAGATCACCTGTGTTACCACTGGATTGGGGCTGTCATTAGAGCCTGGTATGCAAATTAAAACAACCTTAAGATCCTATCTCGTCCCATCAGAATGGCCAACATCAAGAAAGCAAATGACAGCAAATGCTGGTGAACAGGCAGGGAACCAGAATCCCTATTTACTATCACTGGGGGTGCAGAGTCATGCGACCACTGTGGGAAATCAGCATGGAGATCCCACAGAAGGCTGGAAACGGGGGCTGGAGGGCCAGCTCAGCAGAGAGGAGAATGTACTCGGGTTCTATTCCCAGCACCCAAGCCAGCAGGCTGACAGCTACCAGAACCAGGGCACGGTGCCTCTAGCCTTTGAGGGCACTTGCGTGTACAAACCTACGAATAAACACACATACACGTCATTGAAAATAATAAAAACCAGTGCTTCTTCAAGGCAAGGCACAGAGCTACTTAGGACAGCTTCCCCCTCCCAGGCGCATACCCTAAGGTAGTGGTTCTCAACCTTCCTAATGCTGTAACCCTTTAATACAGTTCTTCATGTTGTGGTGACCCCCAGCCATAATTATTTTTGTTGCCATTTCATAAGTGTAATTTTGCTGTTATCAATTGTAATGCAGACATCTGATATTTCCAATGGTCTTAGGTGACCTCTGTGAAAGGGTCATTGGACACACCACACACACACACACACACACACACACACACACACACACAGGGTCAGGATCCACGGGTTGTGAACCACTGCCCTAAAGGCTTCATATCTTACTAGCATAACAACTGCTTATCTTACTCTTTGAGACAGGGCTCACTCTGTAGCCCAGGCTGGCCTTGAACTTGAGATCCTCCTACCTCAGGCTCTCCAGTAGCTGGGATTACAGGTCTTCACCATCAAGCCTGGCCCCCCCCAAACATTTACTTTTATTTGATGTGAGTGTTTTGCCTGAGTGTATATCTGTGCACCATGTGTGTTCAGTGCCTATAGAGGCCAGAAGACAGTAACAGATCCCCCCAGAACGGCAGTTAGAGAATTGCCACTCGGGTGCTCGGAATCAAACCTGGTCGGTCCTCTAAAGCTCTTAACCACTTAGCCCTGGGTTTTTTGTTGTTTTGTTTTTTGAAACAGGGTTTCTCTGTGGCTTTGGAGCCTGTCCTGGAACTAGCTCTTGTAGACCAGGCTGGCCTCAAACTCACAGAGATTCACCTGCCTCTGCCTCCTGAGTGCTAGGATTAAAGGTGTGCGCCATCACTGTCCGGCTTAGCCCTAGTTATGCTGTTGTTATTTGTTTTTTGGGGTTTTTGTGTGTGTGACAGTGTTTCTATAGCCCAGGTTAGCCCTAAAATCCTAAGAACCCTCTTGCCTCAGCCTTTCAAATGACAATGTTATAGGCATGCCTGTTGCCCCTGCCTCTTCCTTCATATTCATCAGCCTAGAGTGGCCCAATGTCCACCAGGCCATGTCCCTGTTTCTGATTCTCCGTGGCTCTCCCAGCAGAGAGAGGGGCAGAGCTAATGACGTCATGCTTTGAGTCACCATTATCTATGTTATATCTTTCTGACTAGGCCACACAGGCACTCTAGGGTGAGCCATGCTCAACACAAGCTTGGGTACATTTCCCCTGGCTTCAGAAAGATGACTTCTAAGTCCTTGGAATGTTCTTGCCTGGTAAGAAATTCTTTGTGGGGGTAGGGGACTGGAGAGATGATTCCGCAGTTAAGAGCAATGGCTGCTCTTCCAGAAGACCCAGGGTCAGTTCCCAGCATGGCAGCTCACAACTGTTTGTAACACCAGTTCCAGAAGACCTGACACACTTACATAAACACACATGCAGGCAGAACACCAATGCACATAAAAGTAAATAATCTTTTAAAAAAAATAAGAAACTCTTTGTGTTTGGGGACCCTGACTTGTGCTATGTTAGTCTATATGGACAATGTGACTTCTGAACAGCCACGTACATGCTCAGCTACATCTATGTGGTCAAAAAAAAAAAAAAAAAGGCTACCCATCAAGCTGACCACACATCTGGTTGGCCATCCTTGCATGTTGTTACACATGTTCTGGGAGAGTTCAGCACGAGCTGCTTCACCCCACGGGACTTTTTCTGAACTCTGTGCCTTTCCCCTTGCTGAACTCAACCCACGTCTTCACTCTGCGGAAACACGATCCTGAGCGGACGGCCTCTCATGTCTGGGAGTCCCTTTAGCAATGGATGGACCTCAGGCTGGTCTCAGAGCCTCCCAAACTCTACCTTGCCACACTGATTTGCAATAGCTTGTTTGTGTTCTTTCTCTCCATGAGTATTGAGCTTCTCAAAGACCCATACACTATGCCCATTCCATTTTGCACACCCAGTTCCTAGGTCGGTGTCAGAGACCAGAGTCCTAAAAATGAGGAAAATGTACTGCAACATTGGTTTTAACTAGCTCTTACTTTGGTCAGACTTAGGCTGTGTGTGTGTGTGTGTGTGTGTGTGTGTGTTTCCAGACGGGGTTTCTCTGTGTAACAATCCTGGCTGTCCTGGAACTTTGTAGACCAGGCTGGCCTTGAACTCACTGAGATCTGACTGTCTGTCTCCCAAGAGCTAGGATTAAAGGCATGAGCCACCACTACCCCACCAAACTTAGGCAATTTGAATGAGGTTATATGAGCTAAATTACCCACTACAGGGCTTGGGCCTAGTAAGCACTCGGTTAGGTTAACACTACCCTTAGAATCCATTCCTTCCTCTAGGAAGCCCGTCTAGCGCCAGAAGATGGCTAATGTGTTCTCACCAGTGCAGGTGACCCCAACATCCTCATTGTGGGCACAGTTGTGCTTCCCCCAGGAAGCAGCGGGACATTCTGACAGCGAAGCCTCCGTCCCCACACAACCTACGTCATCCAGCCAGATGGGGCCCGCGCCCCAACCGAAGCGGCCTGCTGCAGGGTCTGGCTGCCGAGGCCCCCCACAGCCCAGCTCCCGGCAGACCACGGCCGAGTCTCTCATGTCCCAGCCGTCATCACAAACTGTCCCCCAGCGTCCATCATGCCATACCTCCAGGCGGCCAGAGCACCTGCTGGGACCAGCCACCAGGCGCAGCTGGGGAGACCCTGAAATAGAGGGAGAAAGCCAAGAGTTAGGGTCGGAGAGCCCCGCTGGCATCTAAACCTTCATCTTTCTGCCTTCCAACTTCCTTTCCAAATGTCTATCTTTCCATGATAGGCTTTGCCTCATTAACCCTTCTGTCCAGATGGCAGGTGTGGATCGAGTTCTCCTGCATTAGCCACAGAGTCAGGCCTGGCTGGGTGACTCCTCAGCAAGCTAAATATAGAATTCCCATGTGATACAGAAACCCCACTGTGAGGAATATACCCAAAACACATTGAAAGGGGTGGCTCAGTGGGCAAAGGTACCTGCCACAAAGCCTGACACCCTGAGAGTCTGATCTCTGGGACCTCCACATGTGTGTGCATCATGACACACGTGCACACACAGAGATAAACATAATTTTAGAAAATTGAAAGGCTATATTACCGTACACTTGACAGAAATGGTCGTATTTATAGTAAAGCAAAGGTATTTCTTAGTATACGGACAGGTAAACAAAAGATGGTGTTGATCTTTGCGACGCTCTCTGGGATGCACAGTGCAGCCCATGCTGGCCTCAAACTCATAATCCTCCTGCCTCAGCCTCTCGAGTGCGGGAACTGCAGAAGTACACCACTGTGCCCACTGAACCAAGGGAATTATTTTACTTTTTTAGAGTTTTTTAAATATTACATTCATTTATTTACTTATTTGTGTGTGTGTGTGTGTGTGTGTGTGTGTGTGTGTGTGTGTGACACCACATGTATGTGAAGGTCAGGAAAATTTGTGAGAGTTAATGCTCTCCTTCCACAAAGTGAGTCCTGGGGTTAAAATTTCGGTTGTCAGGCTTGTAGCCAGCGCCTTCACCCACTGAACCATCTTTCCGGCTCTAGAGAATTTCCTGGGTGTTTGTGTGGATGGATGGATGGATGGATGGATGTGCATTCGTGTGGAGGCCAGAGGCTGATATTATTCTCTAAGTTATTTTCTCAGGCAGAGTCTCTCACCGACCCTGAGGCTCACTGATCTGACTCAGCAAGCCCCAGGGGCCCTCCTGTTCCCCCACACACACACACTGCTGGAGTTAGAGCAAGCCCCAGGGGCCCTCCTGTCTCTCTCTGTCTCTCTCTGTCTCTCTGTCTCTGTCTCTGTCTCTCTCTCTCTCTCTCACACACACACACCCACACAGCTCGAGCGCGCCCCCGCGCCCCCTCTCTCTCTCTCTCTCTCTCTCTCTCACACACACACACACACACACACACACACACACATACACGCACACACATACACACTGGAGTTAGAGCAAGCCCCAGAGGCCCTCCTGACTCTGCTCTTCCAGCCCTGAACTACAGGTATGCACTGCCACACCCAGCTTTTTCCCTCTGGTGCTGGGATCTGAACCTGGGTCCTCATGCTTGCACAGGAAGAACTTTACCCACTGAGCCATCTCCCTAGTCCTCATCATGTGAAAACAATTTTTAAACTGTGCTGTCACTTGGAGCAAGCCAGAGGACATTGTGACAGTTCCATCCCAGGGCATGAGAACCCAGAAGCTTGTGATGGCAGACTCTCATCCTCACCCTTCTGCCCCACTCAGGGCAGCTACAGAAGGCGAGAGCCGTGTGCAAACACTGCCCTGGATTTTAGGGTGTCAACAGGGCATTCAGGCCAGTATGTGTCCTAGTGAGCAGAGGCATGGGACAGTCTCACAACCAGGGCAGAGAGGGACTTACCAGCTTCAGGCCCAGGCTCTGGAGGGTCAGTGGGAGAGGCAGGAGGCCGACTGCCTACTGGGCCTGGGGTCTGGCTCACTGAGGTAGACAGAAGCCGGGGTGCTGAGGTGTTGCTGTCCATTGTGGGGGCTGTGGGTTGCACATCGCCTAGCGGCATGCCTAGGTCAAGGAAGAAGACACTAATATTACCTCCGGGGCTGCCACACACAGACGAAGCCCAGGGCCTCGAAGTCTCTGACCCACAGCAAGAAGTGGGTGGAAATAAGAGGGTAGAGGGAGCGCAGGGAGTTTAAAGGCCAGAGAGAAGAGGGGAAGTACCCCTAAGCAGGCAAGACTGGCTTGAACTAGGAGCAAGGAAGTTGGGTTAATCCCATCAAACAATATCCAGTGTCTGTTAGGGAGACCAAGCTACCCCTAGTTAACTCCAACCAAGGTTTCACAGAAGAATGTAAGGTGGGAAAAGAGGGAAATCCACACACAGGAAATGCAGCATGAGCAGGGACAACATTCTTTCCCATCCACTCCAGGTGGCCACATACCCACTGTCCCATCCTTCCCCACTGACGTCACTCATAGGCCCTTACCATCACACACGGCCCCAGCATCCTCCCGATGGTGACAGTCATGCTGGCCCCAGGACCTCGAAGGGCAGAATCGCAAGGCTGTCTCATTTCCCCGACATCTGAGATCATCCAGGACTATGGGTCCAGCCCCCTCCCCAAAGAAGGCGCCCCCTGGGGCAGCCAACGCGCCCCCACAGCCCAGCTCCCTGCAGGCCACAGCGGCATCACGAAGATCCCAAGCATCATCACACACTGATCCCCAGCGACCGCCATGCCAAACCTCCAGGCGGCCGGCACAGCCGTGGGGACCATCAGCAAGTCGCAGCCTGGGTGCAGGACCTGGATATAGGACAGGAGACAGGATGACAAGAACTTAGAATGAATGAGGAGCTGCAGATGTTATACCAAAAGGGGAAACTAGAATGAGTTCGCAAGGACTATGTTAACGTTCTGTAAGAGTCCAGCATAGGTGCGCAGGTACGAAGTTAGACCAGTGAGGGATCAGGATGGGTGAATAGGTACTGAGTGGTGCCAACAGGGAACAAGAATGTGGAGGACGGGGAGGAGGGGCAGTAGAAGAAGGAAGAGAGAGAATGGAGGAGGGAGCCCTCAAGTGCCTTTCCATAACCCCTAGCCCTTTGTTCCCGGTTTCTAGCCTCATTGCTCCCTCGAATGCTGAAGCTCGGTAGGCTAAACCCAAGCTTCAATTCTGCCTCTCCCATTTCCCCAGAGAATGTGCAGAGAGACAGACTTGAGGCCAGGCCTTTTACTGCTTCCTGGGGGAGGGAGGGGCTGGGACCTGAGAACTGAAGAGGAGAGGGGGTAGTCTGTGCCCCCACCCACCCCGCATACCAGTGCAGACCAGCCCTGCATCCTCAGTGTGGTCACAGTTGCTCCGGCCCCAGGGGCTCCGGGGACAGTCCCGGAGAGCCTGCTCTCCTCCTCCACACCCCACGTCGTCCATCCACACGGGTCCTGCACCAGGTCCGAATCTGGCACCCCCAGGGGCAGCAAGCGCCCCACCACATCCCAGCTCCCGACAGGCCACTGCTGCATCTCGGAGGTCCCATCCATCATCACACACAGTGCCCCAGCGTCCACCGTGCCAGACTTCCAGGCGGCCAGCGCATCCGTGGGGACCTGAGACCAAGCGCAGTCGCTCTGGGGGATACAGACAGAGAAGGGAGACTGTAAGAGGTTAGGTATAATATCAGCCTCTTGTTTCTCCACCTGTGGAAAGTGAGGCCCAGAAAGGGCAGGGGACTCAGGTTTGCCCGCCGACTGGCTCGTTCAAAAAAAGAGAACTGCCCTTGGCAGGACCCCTGGGTCTCATAAGGGAAGGATCAGTTAGAGGGCGTGGCCAGCCCTGACTGAATCCTCAGAGAGAAAGTTGTGAACACTGGCCTCCTTGGAGGGCCCAGAAGAAAGTCTGGGATCCTCAGTTTGACTGGGCCTAGGTTCTCCCGGCACCCAGATCAGGAAGGGAGACCAGGGAGATTTGGAGGAGGTTACCTTGGCGGGAAGCTCCATTTGTCAGTACAGGGGCCCGGGTGGACTTGGCCTGCTTGGGTGGTCGGGGGTTCTTCTTGCGAGGACCATTCTGGGAGCTTGCTGCTGGCTGGGGAGCTGGAAAAGCGACACGTGACCCGGAAGTCAGGGTCTGAGCTATTCACCCTTCCTGACTCCTTGGCGCCTGTCTAGGGATCTCTCGCTGAGGGTCTGAAGTGCTGGAGGCCTCCTGGGTAATGCAGGACACTAGCTCACTAGCTCACAGAAAAACATCTGCAGCAAGATGACCTCCCCCATACCTGAGACAGAACCGGTTGCGGGTTGAGGGTTGCGGGACAGGAGGCCTAGTCCTTTGTGCTCACCATGAGTCACTGGGGGCTCCTCTGAGCTCAGGCTCAGCTCCCCAGACAGTGGTGGCCACGGATCCCCAGCCAGTAGGGATGTTGAATCTTCTCTAGAGTTAGCTGCACGCTGACCTTTGGGAGAGCACGGGAGTTGTGAGGATGGCCATGGGGTAAGGAATAGAGAGGTCACTTGATCCTTGGGACAGAAGAACCACCTGAATGCTTGAATTCCCTAGGGCTCAGAAATAAGTGATTGTAAGCTGGGGGGTCCTGGGATGGGACACCTGGCCTTATGGGGATAAGTAGGCACCTTTCAGCTTCTAGACAACTCAGATCTACAGGAACTAAGGACTTGGGAGTTCTTGGGGCCATCAACATAGGAGGAGTTTGAGTCCTTTACCTACACAGACGACGCCTGCGTCCTCCTCATGAGAACAGATATGGGCCTTCCAGCCCCGGTGGGGACAGATACCCAGCTGTCCCTCACTGCCCCGGCAGGCCAGCTCACTGAGCCACACAGGTCCAGTGCCCTCCCCGAAGAAGGCACCCCCAGGGGCGGCCAGCGCCCCTCCACAGCCCAGTACACGGCAGGCCACTGCAGCATCCCGAAGGTCCCATCCGTCATCACACACAGTGCCCCAGCGCCCGCTGTACCAGACCTCCAGGCGTCCTGCACAGCCGTGAGGGCCATCAGCCAGGCGTAGTCGCTCTGAGGGGTGAAGCAAAAGCTATGACTCCAGACAGGAGAACTGTAGTCTGGGGGTTAGGGAACAGTAAGGGAAGGGAGCTATCTTACAAGGTACCATCAGGAAGCTAGCTACCCCGGAGACAGGACTCTGGACCCAGACTCCTGATACAATGAGTGGAGTGTCTTAGAGATACTGAGGGCTGTGTGGAAGGTCAGAGTGGAATCAGGGTAGCAGGGAGCAGCAGGAGAGTGATGACAGGAGACTTGGAGCTGGGTGAGGCCAACTGGAGAGTCAGGACACTTACCAATAGCCTGGGTCCCCACCAGTAGTGCTGCAAAGGAGGTTGGAGGGGACAGAGTGAAGGGTGAGTCAAAGGGGAGGGGTCCTTTCCCCATTGCATGCTCCCGGCTTAAGTCCCATACAGATCCAATGGCATGCAGATTCCTCACACCTCTGAGTCAGAAACCCCATGGCTAGAATGGACTTTGGGTGGAGGCTTGGATAAGTTGCAGGTCCCTGGGGCGGGTGGGGCCCCAAATAGATGCCTGACCCTTGAAGACAGAACTGGGGACCATATTGAATGGGAGGGAGTGATACCTCCCACTCCCCTACTCCCCTCCCCTCCCGCAGTGAGAATGCCAGTGCAACAAAGGGCAGGTCACTTGGGTTGCTAGGCAGGACATGCTAAAGGCTGGGTCCCTGAGGGTTAGTGTGGCCGGCCAGATGTCAAGCTATCTCAGAGCACCAAGGGCCAGAACTGGTTCCCTGAAGCCTGAGTCCCTAAATTAGACAAGCTAAAGGGTCAGAGGTGAAAGTCTAGGTCCCTAAGGTACCCACCCCCCAGGAATGGGTCACTCACCAAGGAGGCAGGCCAAGACCCTCATGTTTGCAGAGTCCAGGGCAGGGGATGGGGGTGAAGGGGGAAGGAGGGTAGGAGAAGGGAGGAGGAGGCAGCCAGGGAGGGAAGGAGGGAGGGAAGCCGGCTGCCGAAGCGCCGTGGACAGCTAGGAGCAGGCTGGGCTGAAGGCTTTGCCAGGAGGGAGAGCCGGCTGCAAGGAGGCAGCAGGGGACAGGAGGGGGAGGGGGCTGGCCGCAGCTGAGGCTGAGGGGGGGCGGTGGGCAGGCAGAAGGGAGGTGTTCAAGTGCAGACACCCACACTGGAGCAAGGCGGCCAGCCAGGCTCCAGAGGGCCACGTGCTCAGAGATGCTTATGGGGATGGCAACTCTGGGAAGGGACAGGCCTGCCTGGGTTCTGGGGGGGACAAGGCCGAGGGCACACCCTCCTGCCTCCTCTTATTATCCAGCCAGGGAAGTGCGGCTGGAAGTGGACAGATTTGGGGGGAATTCTGCAGTAGCAAGAAGGCCTGCAGCCAGACACTAGGAGGGACTTCCTAGATTAAGAAAAGAAACTAAAAACAAACAAACAAAAAACCTCTCTCCATTTGATACCCACCCTGTTAAATCTGCATGGGAAGCTTCTAGTCCCTATCTGAGGAAGGAGTGTCTGAACTTATTAGTTCCCAGAACAAAGGTATGGAGAGTAGGGAGATCAAGGGGTCAAGGCTTCAGTCTGGAGGGGGTGTACACACACACACACACACACACCAGGCAGCTGCAAGGGGGAAAAATGTGGTAATGGGGAGCATGACTCAGAAGGCCTGGCAGGGGCCCGGCTGCCGCTGTGAGCTCACTGCCTCTGCCTCTCCTTCTCCCAGCGCACTGCTGCACCTCCCCTTCCCGAGCAATTAATGTCAACTTTGGAGAGGAGGAGCCAGACGGAAGGAGGGGGTTCGGAGGGAGCAGCTGGAAAAGGCATCAGAGAGGAGACAGACACTCAGAAGTCTCAGGCTTTATTAACAAACTGTAAAAAAACAGATGGGCTTGGAAATTCGGTGCTCCCAGCCCCACCCATTCCAGAAGATCTGCCCCCTTTGGGGGTTCCCTGTCACAGACTCTTAACTCTGCCTCTCACTCTCCCCAAATACCCATCGAGACCTAAAACACACACAACAGGGGTTTTGTAGAACCAGAGGTTTGTTTGTTTGTTTGTTTTTTTTTTCAGTGTATACAGACTAGGGGGCAAAGAGTGGACAGGGTGACCGCTAGCAGTCCCTGGGGTCTACCAAGAAGAGACCCTACTACACCTGGCAGGTCCACTGCGGGGCATGTGCATCCAGCAACCTCGGTACTCCACTGAGGGAGGGGATGGAAAGTGCCTGGCACACAGTAGGTGCTCTTTTGGTGCTGGTTTCACGCCCATCTCCCCAGAGGGCATGGTCTATAATCACAGATCCTTGCTGAATTCTCTAACCAGCATATAGCCCATGCAGCCCCAACCTCCCTCTGCCTGGTAACCACAGGCCTCCAATAACCCTGCCACCCCCCAAGCGGCCACAGCCACTGGGACCACGAGCCGGGCCCGAGGCTCCCCATCACTCCCAGCCCAGGCTCGAGCTCGGGACTCAGCAAAGGCCAGCAGTCTCCTGCCTACGCCCCTGCGACGGTGCCACCGAGAGACAGAGAGGCGGGTGACTCGGGCTCCGTCCCTCACATTAGCACCAGGGGCCAGAGCCAGGACCCCACACACATCGCCGGAGCCGCGGACAGCCACCCAGGGTCCCCCCAGGCCGCCTGGCGGAGGCAGAGAGCCCCATCGGGCTCGCAGGCCCAGCTTCAGGGCAGCCACCGCCAGAAACACCGGCAGCAGGAGGGCCAGGGCAAAGGAGGCCAGGACGAAGCGCAAGCCGCTGCTGGCTGCAGCCAGGAGGAGAAGGGCTGGCGGACGTGTCAGAGCGTGGAGGGCCACACGGTTTTCCGTGTCTTTTACACCAGCCTGTGGGTAGGAGTAAGGGCTCAGCCACTCATTACATTGGATCGCCCAAGGAAGGGTTCCCAAGTGGGAAGAGAAGACAGCTGTTGGGGGAGTTCCAGTCTGACCCACTGGGTGTGGAGGGCTGAGTGAATGAATGAACCGGGGCCTGGAGCCAATGACTATGGAGGGCATGCTAGGGTAAAACACCAGGCAAGACTTAACAGGATAGGGAAAGTGAGGCCGTGGGCTCTTCGCAGGAGGGTCTGGGGGATGAGAACATCTGTCGTTTGGGTGCTGGTAGGTGAGGCCGACTGGCAGTCAGGAGGCCTGAACATTCAGCCCCCACACCCTTCCAGCTGCTTTTTTGAAAAATAGCAGCTGAGGTGTAAGAAGGAACTAGGGATAAGGGACCATTTGAAAGCAGTCGAGGCAAAGATATTCCCCCTTTGGAGATCCCTGAGAGCGCAGGCAGGTGGAACCCACTTTGAATGAACGTCCCTAAGTAGCTGCGCATGCTCACTGGTGCCCCTGCCGGCCTCTCACCTTCAGTATCTCCAGCACCAGGGGCTTCTCATCTTCCCTCATCTCCCGCACTGACAGGTGGTTGGGGGCCATGGTAGCCCCCGGGCCGCCGCCCCCACCCCAGAAGGGAGCTGGCGTCGTGCACCTGCTGAAAACAAGTAGGTCTGTGTTAGGTGGGCACCTGAGTCCTCAGAGCCCTGGGAAGTATGAACTGCATTTCCCATATCACCAAGGACGATGGAGCACCGCCAAACAGGGCTGCCACAGTGGCAGGTCAGGCGCCCCTATATCCAATGGGGCTCAAAGTCTCCCCCGAATCATCCCCCACTCCGGGGAAAGCATTCAGCCTCTGTCTGTAAACTCGTTCCCTCCCCACTCTCCAGGAGCCCGTCTCCTGCAGTGGTCCCCATGTAGCGAGCAGGAACAGGGCCCTGCAAGCACCTCTACGGGGTTGCTCGAATCCCTTGACAGCAAAGGGGAGCAGGGTCAGGAAAGGGTCACCGGCGGAAGTGACGTCCATACTCCCGACCGGAGGCGGGGCCGGCGCCTTAGCAACTGTTGCCAAGTTTTCCCCACCACCGGGCAGGGGTTGGGAATTGCGAGGGCGAGGCAATAGCAGTGACCTGCTGGAGGCCGGTGGGAGAACCATCGGGAAAGAGGAAGGGGGTGGGGGACAGAGAGGGTTTCTTACCCGAGCCTGCCTGTGGAGGGTTAGCACAGCTCCTTTCTAGCCGGTCCTTCGTTGCTAAGCGACCTAAGCATCAGGAGGAGGAGGCTTTGCTTGCGAACCTAGTCTCATTGGCGCCTGGGTCTTCCGGGTAGGAGTGGGGGCAGTACTGAGCATCCCCATCCGCAGGCACCTTTATCTCAACCCAGTGACACCTGGGGTATCGTCTGGATCAATAATAGCCCTTTACCTACCTTTCAGGTGAGGTAAAGGTGAGACTGACTGACACGAAAGCAGTGAAGAATCTGGAATTTGATCCCTGATCCTCCCTACTATAGTGACCACAGTGACACGCACCTGCGCGGACGGACGGACACACACTAAAGGATGGAAAAGGACCAGAGAAATAGTTCAGGGAGTAAGAGAGCTTGCCAAAAGAAAATCCACATGGCAGACACCCACAAAGTCTGTGACCTCCACAGGTGTATCCCCCCCCCACACACACAATAAAACTCTTCATTAAAAAATGTAAAGGATGGGGAAACTGAGCTGCACCCTGGAGAAGTAGCTAGCCTCCGAGTACAAAGCACGTCATCTCAGAGCAGGTGGCAAGAATGAAGACTTCCACGTCTTAGGCAGGAGTTATGCCAACGGCTATCCTCTTCCCCCATGAAAACAAAACCAAGAAGAGACTCTGTCTTTATTAGCAAGCCCAGCCAGCGGTCCCCTTGACCCCAGCCCAGCTGAGGAGAACAGTTAGTGCGCTGAGGGTGGAGGGGTGGAGGGGGTTTGTGGCAGACGGAAGTACTAGTGGATCTCTTCAAAACGTGTGTACCAACTGGACTGCTGGCAGAGTCTGTACAATCTGGATAGAGGGCAAGCTCTGGGGAGCCATGACCCCCGGGCCAGTCACTGCAGGAACCACTTGTACCATCTGGGAGGTGGGAGCTACGGGCACCCCGACAGGGGCAGAGACCGGGCCAGGTGTTGGTGGGGCCAGGATCTGCAGTGTTGCGGCGCCTCCTGCAGCACTGCTGTTCTCCAGCAGGTCGGTAGCGGGAGCGCTCCGAATGATGAGGAGTTTCTGTCCTGCCGGGCCAGTGGCGGCTGGCTCTGTCAGCCCAGGGGAAAGGGTTTCCACCTCCTGCACACAGAGCCTGGTCTGCTCGCCATCTGCTCCACTCAGCACCAGCACACTCTGCAACCCTTCATCTGTCTGCAGCGTTTCAAACAGGACATCCTGAACCACACTGGCACTGGCTTCGCTGTCCCCCACCTCCCCAGGTCCAGGGCCGGTGAGCAACTCTTCAGCAGCCCCACTCTGAACCACCAGCAGGTTTTGAGTGTCAGTAGCCACAGCTCCTCCATTAGAACTGGAGACTTGGCCTGTCAGGGGCTGGAGCTGGACCGTAGTCACTTCCTGTGCTGGTTGGAGCTGGACCGTGGTCACTTCCTGCGCAGGCTGGAGTTGGACCGTGGCCACTTCCTGTGCTGGCTGAAGTTGAACCCCACTCACTTCCTGTGACCCTGTCTCCCCACTCCCTACGTTCTGTAGAACAATGAGGCTCTGACCTCCCCCGCTAGCCCCTGCATTACCCCCTCCCTGCATCCCCAGACCACTTGGGCCTGGAAACCACATTACCCCTGTCCCCTGTCCAGTTTTCCCCACGGCCCGAGGGCCCTGTCTCGCAGCACCATTGCCCATAGCCGCAGTACTGGCAGGAGGCAGCAGAATGAGTTTGGGGGGTGGAGGCGGTGGTGGAGGGGTAGGGGGATGGACACTGCTAGGGATCAGTTGAAGGCCCTGGGCAGTCTGTACCAGGAGAAATGTCTGGGAGTTGGGGATGACTTGGCCTGGGGGTGTAGCCTGAGCTGTGGTCCCAGCTACTTCAAGTGAAAGTGTGGCCTGTAGGTGGGGGAGGACATGAACATCTTGGGCGGCCAGTGGAGCTGGAGCTGCGGCCAATGGGGCAGGGGGCTGTGGAGCAGTAGGGCCGGTGGTGCCCGAGGCTGCTGTGGCTGGGGTGTGCGTCCTCAGATGCCGCTGCAGATAGGCAGCCATGACAAAGCCACGGCCGCAAATGGGGCAGGCAAAAGGGCGCTCGGCAGAATGGGTGCGCTGGTGCAGCAACAGGTTGGAAGAGTGGGTGAAGGTCTTGGGGCAGAGCGGGCAGCGGAAGGGTCGCTCACCCGTGTGCACGCGTTGGTGCTGCCGCAGGTTGGAGGTCTGTGCAAAGCTCTTGCCACACACGCTACAGGAGTGCGGTCGCTCGCCAGTGTGCACGTGTCGGTGGCGCCGCAGGCACGATGTGTTCCGGAAGGCTTTGCCACACTCGCTGCAGGCATAGGGCCGCTCACCTGAGTGCAGTCGCAGGTGGTACTGGTAGTGGGATGACCACTTGAAGGTGAGGCCACACTGACCACAGGTGAAGGCTCGAAGGCCCGTGTGCACGCGCTGGTGGATGGCCAGCAGAGAGGAACGCTTAAAGGCTTTGCCGCACTCCCCGCACTGGTAGGGCCGCTCGCCCGTGTGGTCCCGCAAGTGGTAGCGCAGCCCGGAAGAACCCTTGAAGGCCTTGCCACACTCAGCGCATTTGTATGGCCGCTCTGCAGAAACAGGGGCAGGCGGGGGTGGAGGTGGAGCAGGAGTGGCTGGGGCTAGAGGCTCCTGGGGACAGGTGACCTCCGCAGCCTCAGCCTGAGGGGGCGGGCGTCCAGCGGCTGCCTCCTCCACATGGCACTGCTGGTGAGCCAAAAGGCTGGCCAGCTGTGGGAAGGCGCCATCACAGCTGCCGCAGCGAAAGGCCTGCCCACTGGCTGTGCCATGACTGTGCTGGTGGCGGGACAGGCCAGCCACGGTCCGGAAGGACTTCCCGCAAGGAAGGCAAGCAAAGTTCGGGGACTCCGCAGTGGCAGGCGGGGACTGTGGCAGAGGGGGGTCAGCCTGGGGCAGTTCGGCGGGCGCATCCTGGGGCTGGGCGGCCACGGCGGGACCCGGACAGGGCTGGTGCTCCAAAAGCAGCTCCTCGCTGCTGAAGCCCTGCTCGCAGCCGTCGCAACGGTACACCAGCTCCACGGTGGTCTCCGCAGCAGCCAGAAAGAGCTCAGGCACCACGGGTGGGGGTGGAGGGGGGGGGGCTTGGGGTGCAGGTGGGCTGCGAGGCTGCAGGTAGGCATCAGAGACCAGGACCTTGGTGCTGGCTCTGCTAGTCTCCCCTGCAGGGGTGGGGATAGACCCAGGGGCAGGGCTGTGGGTGCGGTGGTGCAGTAGCAAGTTGGAGGAGTGTGTGAAGGTCTTGGGGCAGAGCTGACAGCGAAATGGACGCTCCCCTGTATGTACCCGCTGGTGTTGGCGCAGATTGGTACTCTGTGTGAAGCTCTTGCCGCAAATGCCACAGGTGTAAGGGCGTTCCCCGGTGTGCACATGCCGGTGGCGCCGCAAGCTGGACGAGTTCTTGAAAGCCTTGGGGCAGTCTGGGCATGGGTAGGGCCGCTCGCCAGTATGCTGTCGCAGGTGGTACTGGTAGTGGGATGACCACTTGAAGGCCAGGCCACACTGGCCACAGGTGAAGGCTCGCAGGCCCGTGTGAACACTGCGGTGGATCTGCAGCAGGGAGGAGCGCTTGAAGGCTTTGGGACAGTCTGGGCACTGATACGGCCGCTCGCCTGTGTGGCCCCGTTGGTGGTAGAGGAGGGCTGAGGAACCCTTGAAGGCTTTGGGGCAGTCTGGGCACTTATAAGGCCGTTCGCCCGTGTGCGTGCGCTGATGGTGCAGGAGCCGAGAAGACCACCGGAAGGACTTACCACACTCCCCGCACTCATACTGAGCAGCAGGAGTGGGTGCTGGGGCAGTGGGGCCTGACTTTTCCTCGGTTCCCTCAGTGGTGGAAGCTGGCGCCATGTCCACGTGGGGGCCGGCCATCACACCTGGTGGGAGGATTCTGATCAGAGTGGGCTAGTACTGGCCCCCATCACCTCTCCAAGGAACGGGGCAGTCTCCCTATGTCACCCACACTGTAGGGGTTCTTCCTTAGGGTTAGAGCTTCCAACAGCCTAGGCTTAACACACGGTACACGGTATCACATACAGACTATGAGAAATAATGGAGTACCAGGGATGTCAACTTCTCAGCAAACTGCAACTAGCTGGCCAGCTCCTCTGGGAAGAAAAGATGCAAGAAAGGGTGGGCTCCAGATAGAACACGACCTTCAGGACACTTGTTCTCTGGACGGCAGTGCCTTAGAAGCCTCTGGCTTTGCTTCCTGTTCTGGTTTGAAGACTTGCCCCTACCTTTCCCCACCTCAACAGTTGTCCCCCCATCACACCGTAAACAGTTTCTCACCCATCCCACTGCCCTCCCTTCTCTCTTGGGTCCCCCAAATCCCAGTGGTGACTTCCTGTTCCTACAGGATCTACACGCTTCTCCCATCACGCCATCACTACCGTCTCCTCCTCCTATCACGCCATCACTACCGTCACCTCCTCCCATCACGCCATCACTTCCGGTGTCACCTGGCCTCCGCGTGCACTCACTCCCCAGTACACCCCGGCCTTGGCCTGCCTGTTTCACTGTTCCTACACTCATGTGCATTTTCTGGACACTCCCCATGCTTCTCAGCTCACACTGCACTATCTGGTCCCTGCATGCGCTCAGTGGTAACCCTTTGGCATGTTTCTTCCCACTGTAACATGCTTCCCTGCTCTTCGAAGGTGACCTGGCCACCACCATTCACTGCAGTGACTGGGAAGAGAAAAGGTGTCAGTCAGAACAGACATCCCGTGCTCCACCAGTGCTCTTCCCACTCAGGGGCAGCCTGTGATGCCTGCAGACACTCTCTGTTGCTTGTCTATCAAGTGCAGGGGACAGAGGTGCTTCTCAACACCCTACAGTGCAGAGGATGAACCCCACAAAGATCCAGGCCAAAACAGCAGCAGCACAAGGCTGTGGACCTGTAGGATTCCCCCACACATGCTGCCCTGTGCCACGGCCTCTGACCTCCCGTGGCATCCGCCAGGTTTTCAGCAGCACACCCTTGCCTCAGTCCCCTCCAGCCCCCTCAACCTGCTCTTCCCTCTGGGAGCACTTCAGTCACCGGTTGTCCCCAGCCCTTGTGCTGAGGTTTTCCTTAGACACATCCTCCTAGCTTCAGGAGGCTGACACTCCTTCCTGTCACCATCTCAGCCTTTGGGCTAGATCCTTCTAAACCTGGAGGTTGAGTTAGAGCGCAGTCAAGAATTGCTCTTTCTATCTGCCCCTCTCTCTGGAAGCCCTCGCCCCCTCTCTTAGGATTCCAGGATCTATAAATAAAGGACCCCAAAACTACAGCTCCTGAAGACTCTCCTTTGCTCCCCATGCTTGCTGCACTGTGCCTAAAACACCTCACATTTAACCAAAATCTAACTCCGGGTTGTTGTTGTTTTCCTTCTATGCCCTCTTATCAAAGACTTAAAAGTAGGGCTGAGATGTAGCTCAGCTGATGGAGTGCCTATCCAACACACACAAAGCCCTACGCCTGAACCAGGTACACACTAGGAGGATAACACGGAGTGGGGGGGGGGAGGTTGAGGCCAGTCTAGGTAGCAATCACACCTGTATGAGAACAGAGGGCAAACCTCTTACAGCAGCCTGCTGGATGTTCAAGACGGGTGGCCTTCTCCCCTCTTGCTGGCCTCCTGTCCCTCTAGCCTCAAGCAGGCAGGGAGAGTGACCCCATCTTGGGGCTCCCGCCTAGTACGCCTTCTTTCCACCATCCACCCTGTCACCCATGTCTGCACTAAAATCACCTCAGAGACGCCTCCTCAGACCACCCTCCTTAAGCCCCTTCAGCACTCCCTTGCTTTCTCTGCATACTCGGTTTGCTCCGTTCCTCATGGGGGGCCCATCAGCCAAGTGCTACCCAGCCAGGATCTCCCAGCCTCAGCAGCACAGAGATTTGAGGATGGGGCATTCTGTGTCAGAGGGGCTGGCTCATACATTGTTGGTGTTTGGTAGAATTCCTGACCTGTCAACCTGATGGATGCCCCTGGCAACAAAAAACAGAACCAGCTGACCCTGCCCTAGTAAACCCTCCAGTCACTGGTACAGTGTCCCCCCAAGACACTTTTATTCTGTCTAATGCTCGCACCATGTAAACAGGGAGCCCCTTTCTTGTTCACAGTTGCATCTCAGCACCTACCAGAGCATCAGCTGAGTGCGTGCTCAGTAAATAGAGTCCGAGTGAGTCAAGACTAGGCATTCCCTTTTGACAAGCTATGGAGGATTTCTGCATTTAAAGGACGGGCAACAGGCTATGAAAGATTTCTTATTTAAAGGATAGGTGTCTCTTTTGCCAAGTAAGCCACCAATGAGGTTAAGCTCCCATGTGCCTTAAAAGATGAAGTCAGGCCGCATCTTTTAACACGAGATGCCCAAAGAAACAGGTACCCATCTTAGCAGTAAGAGTCCCCTTTAAAAGGCTGGGCTTTTATGCTCTTGGGGCCTGGGATGTAGCTCGGTTGTTAGTTAATGACTGACATGCATGAAGCTCCGGATTCTATTCCCTTCCCAGTACATTAGAAAAAAAAAACAGGCCTGGTGGCACAGGCCTGTAATCCCAGCACGTAGAAGGTGGAGGGAGGCAGGAGGATCATAAATTCAATGTCATCCTTGGCTATACAGTGAGTCTGAGGACATCCTGAGCTACATGAGACTTGTCTGGAAAAAAAATAATAAAGGTTAAATGCCCATCTCTATCTTTATTCAGATATTCTAGGGACCAGCAGGATTACAAATTTTTTTCTTCAATGTTTGGGAAATTTTAAGAAAATTTCTCTTTTAAGAGAAAGGGGGCGGGGGAGACAAGAAGCTTTGGAAAAATGCATAGCTAAACCCAGTGCCCTTCTCCTTTAAGAGGGCGGGGCCGATCGAAACAGATTAAATATCGGAGGCGAAATAGCCACCTTCCCTTTAAGATACCCCTTCCGGTTTCCCGCTCGCCGTTGCCCAA